CATATCACTGATGACTGGTTTATTTAGTTATAAGCAGTGCTTGGTGTTTACATTTTACCCCTTAATGACCAGGGTTACGTTAAGCTTAGTTTTCCCAAAACGACAACGATAAACTAGTCAAAATGCAATTGTAGATATCTACAATTGTTATTACTGATATTGATCAAATGTTAAAATGGCTTGCTATAGGCTTCCACACAGGTGCACTGCATGATATAATTAAGCAGTTAACATCCCATCATGCTCTGGGGCATGTAATGCCGATCAGGTTCATTGTTGGGGTGAGCTTCACTCACAAAAATGCTCAACTGGACTTTCAAGAGGAGCAGAGACTGAAGTGACATCTGCATTTAGAGCTATGAAACAGATGTCAGTAAACAGGGTTGGACAATTTACAGCAGTCGTCCACAATTACATACAGAGGGACGTTATAGTAGAGCTGCAGTGTTAAACCCTCATTACACAGATGAATCCACAGCTAACAGTTCAGTGGTGTGGAAACCAGAGGCTCTGATCTACAGAGATTTGGAGAAAAGTGATGTGGTCAGATGAGTTTTCCTTCATCATGTTCTCCTCAAGTGGGCGAGGTCATTGACGTACACTAAGAGAATGGTACATGCCTGAATGCTGGACCCCTTCAGCCAGGTGACCACTGACTTAATATTTCTATCCTGATGGGAGTGGTCTCTTCAAGGATGCCAATAGCCCATCCATCGGGCTCAAGGGGTCACTGAATGCTTTGATGAGTATGAGAATCCAAGTCATCCATTGCCTTGTGAGTTGCCATTTTGAAGACTCGAGTCTGGAGTTTTGGCTGTCGTCATCTTTGTTTTTTTGAAGCCCAGAATAACCACATTTAGAAGAGGGTGGAGCTGGGGCTGGAATGATGGGTGGATCATTCCGACAACCTGAGGACACTAAGCACACCCACCTACATCCGCAACCTGAATGCAGGTATTCCACCTGAGTGGGGTTATTCCATAAATGACCCTAAGGAAATCTGCATTTAATTGAAAAAGCCAAGTTTGAATTTATGTCAACTTTCACTTGAGGCTCTGGCTGTTAACTCAAACCAGGCTTGAACAATCTTGCATTGTGCATGCACAGAGTACGAAGATACTATGTCACAAAAAGAAGGGAAAACGACAGTGGTGTCCTTCTCAGCGGTGGAACAAACCCTGCTGATGGAACATTATGAAGAATATAAGGGCGTTATCACTAAAAAGAGCAATACTGCCACAATAACCAAGATGATGGAGATGGCCTGGTAAAAATGGTGCAAGTTATATTAATTTATTTGATTTATTATCAGTAGGCTAGATAATATCAGGTGTATGTTTAAAATTACAGTGTATCAGTACATCTCTCATTTGAACAATTTTTGTTGTGGACTTTTAAAGTAGATGGAAGAAGATCGAAAACGATTCTAAGGAAATCATATCTGTCATGACCACTGGCAGACCCACGCAACTCTGTGATCATGGAAAAAGACCCTTTTGTGACCACCACGGACAGGCTTCTTACAGAAGTAAAGCTGGCTTAAATATGTACAGATGCTCACTCACAGATAGCTTCTCTTATGAGTAAGTTGCTATTTACATTTAACTGTATTATGTGCGTTTTTGAATTCTTTTAAGATTCTAAGCATCATTCTCATCGTATCATTGGAGTGTTAGAGTGAGATTAGCCTGTCCACCTTCTGGTGCCCTTTGTTCTCCGCCTCTTTAGCCTCCATACCTCTCCAATGTTCCGGTTACTTACCATGACCTGGCCGAGTCCTTCAGTAAGGAGATGGCACTCACCTTACCCACACGATGACCCTATAACTGCGCCATAGAACTCCTTCCCGGTGCTACACTTTTCACTTTTTTAATCTTTCCAAGCCCGAGAGAGAGGCCATTGAGCAGTACATCCGAGAGGCGTTGACTGCAGGACTTTTTTGTGAAAAAGAAGGATGACATACTCAGGCTATGCATAGATTACAGACCACTAAATAACATCACCATAAAGAACAAGTATCCACTCCCCCGATAGACTCTGCTTTTCATCCTCTTCATCAAGCCACCATATTCTCCAAGTTGGATCTCCAAAACGGTTATCACCTGGTACGAATCAAGGTGACGGTGAAGGTGACGGATGGATGACTATCTTCAACACTCCTCTGGGTCGCTTTGAATACCGGGTCATGCCCTTCGGCCTCACCAATGCCCCCGCTGTCTTCCAAAACCTGGTGAATGACATGCTCAGGGATATGCTGAACCAGTTCGTGTCTGTGTATCTAGACGACATTCTCATCTTTTCCAGGACTGTCCAAGAACATGAACAACATGTAAGGTTAGTGCTTCAGAGACTCCTAGAGAATAAATTATTCATAAAGTCAGAGAAATGTGAATTCCACACCCAATCAGTTTCTTTCCTGGCATATATTGTTGAGGAGGGGCAGATCAGGACAGACCCAGGCAAGGTGCAAGCGTTGAGGGAGTGGCCTGTGCCCAAGACCAGAAAAAAGCTGAAACATTTCCTGGGGTTCACCAACTTCTATTGATGCTTCATCCAAGACTACAGTAAGGTTTCCACAACCCTCACCAGACTCTCTTCAGCTAATCTTCTGTTCATTTGGTCACAGGAGGCTGACATGGCTTTCCGCAGCCTCAGGACCCTGTTCTCCAACACACCTGTCCTGATTCACCCCAACCACTCTCTACAGTTCATCATGGAGGTCGATGCCTCTGATACCAGGGTCGGGGCTGTTCACCAGTGGATCAAAAATTACACCCTTCGCTTACTTTTCCCTTTGTCTCTCCCAGGCTGAAAGAAATTATGATGTAGGGAACCGCAAACCCTGGTGGTGGTTCTGGCTCTGGAGGAGTGGCGTCATTGGTTGGAAGGGACAGATCAGCCATTTATCGTCTGGAGTGACCATAAGAACCTGGCATATCTCCAGACCGCTAAGAGGTTAAAGTTTCACCAGGCATGCCAGGCTCTTTTTCTTGGGAGGTATAACTTCACACTTACTTACAGGCCTGGCCAGAAACTCTCCCGGCAGACTACCTCTGAGACCCCCAGGGATCCTCCTGAATCCTCCCTCGTGCTTGGTGGCAGCTGCATTATGGTAGGTGGAGTCTCAGGTCAAGGAGGCCCAGCACACCGACCCTGGTCCAGGTAATGGACCTATTAACTGTCTTTATGTTCCTATCCCTCTCAGATCCCGAGTGCTACAGTGGGGCCACGCTTCCAAGCTAACCTGCCATCCTGGAGCCCAGCGCACAATGGAGTTCATCAAGCTGCGGGTCTGGTGGCCAACCATTGCCCAGGACACTCAGTTCTTTGTCGCAGCCTGCTCAGTCTGCGACAGTGGGAAGGCCTCACATCAGCCTCCATCCGGACTCCTATGCCCACTGCCCATTCCCAGCCGTCCATGGTCCCACATTGCCATGGATTTTGTCACTGGTTTTCCCCCATTGGCAGGTAATACCACCATACTCACCATAGTTGAACATTTTTCCAAGGGTGTGCCTTTCGTTCCCATTCCCAAACTCCCTTCAGCTCTAGAAACTGCTGACCTGCTAATCCAGCATGTGGTCCGCCTCCACAAGACCTCAAGGCAGCCCTGCGCTGTGTTTCTGTCTGACATCCCTCATCCTGGAGTTCCCACTTAGCCTGGGTGGAATACGAACACTGTAACAGCTCTCAGCTTTCTTTAAAATCCCTCGTCGCTGTCAGTTCATGCGAAATGCATTCTGGGATACTGGCTGTATATTTCAGTGTGAACAGTCAGTTTGGTAATGGCATACTAATTTGTTCATTTAGATCGAGTATGCAGTATATACTCATTGAGTATGTAGCAGGCAGTATGTAGCAGGCAGTACGTTAGTAGGCAGTTCTGAACACAGCCAGAGTTTTGGACTACTCCTCGAGAGCTTGGTTGGCCAGAGGCTAAGCCCCTCCCCCTGGACCACACTTAAAACAGTTTAATTAATTATTATGTAACTTAACCCATAACACAGTGAAACATGGTTTCACCTACCATCTGCACACCTGTGCAGGTAGCTGATGATTCTATTTAAGGCAGCATTTGCAACTGCTCTCTTTCAGACCCAGGGACTGTGGAGGAGAAGAGCATCGGATTAAGGTGACACTGGTTGAACAAGATGATATCTTGATGATATCTTGTTATCTGTTATGTGGTGTGTTTCTTTGGTTAAATATTTCACTGCAGGGGATTTGTGTAGTTTTGATTGTGGTTTAATGTGGTGCATGCACTCACCACAAGGACAGAAAGGAATTATGTGTCTGGATTACCATTTGAGTGTGTATTACTAAGTGTCCTCTTTACAATGTGCCATCCATAATTAGTGACAAGGTCTTCGTCACAGACGCATAATTTGAAAGGCTATCCCAGGTAACATTCCTTGTTATCTTAGCTGCAAACCTACAGTCTTCTATTCTGTCACTGTAGTTTTGTACTAACGATCAAAACAATTAATTCTTTCCAGTTGTTACCCTGTTGTGTTTTGGATGTATGTGTCCACTTCCGCGCTGTATGAGACACTATGGATTACGCTATGGTGTTGTTGCCTGGCAGTGTGCATCCATGAATTTGGGGGGGGCGGAGCTTCGAAAAGAGCACAAAAGGGAGGGGTGCATTTGTGGTGCTGTTAAGATCAAATTCAAATATCTTTCTCAAGTATCACTTACTCCTCCTTTAAATTCTCTTAGTTCTCTCTCCATCTTCAGTTTGTGAGGTCATCTTTTTTTCTTCTTTGTGCTAGCACCTCTACTAATCTGTAAAATAATGAAGACATTTCAGTACTTCTTTTAAGAGGCTGTGAGGCAATAACATCACTGTGCTACTTCCCCCTAGGCAGGCAGAGAGGAACTCGGAATAGGACGCAAGAGGAGTGCAGATAAAGGAACACACACAGGACAGCACGGCAGAGAGAGAGAGAGCGAGAGAGAGCGAGGACATACAGTCCGGCTGTAGCCAGAACAGCATCTTAGTGACTAACCACTGAATCCCTGTAATGCAGCAGAACTGATAATCCAACCAACCAGAGGTAAGATTCAAAGAAATATCTAATGTCTCTGCCTCTTACTGTTTTCTGCAGTTGCAGTCGTGTGTGTGTGTGTATGTATGTGTGTAAGACACAGACACAGAGAGAGAGAGAGAGAGGAAAACAGAGACTCTGAGATCATGTTATGGCAGACTGGAGGACAATGTTATAAGCCTGAGGTTCTGCTGCCGTCCTGTCCTTGTGTGCATGTGTGTGTTGGAGAGAACCTGTTTTGCACGTGTGTGTGGAATATATTACATGAGTTGTTGCAGTTGTCCTGCTATCAGATAGAGAGCGATGTCTGTGTGTGTGTGTATGTGTGTGTGTGTGTGTGAGCTTCAGCGAGCTGTGTCATTGTATCTTGACAGTGTAGTCCAACGCCGCAGTATCCACCCCCCCACCCCACACACTTTACCCCCCTCTGCCACTTTCTATCTCCCTTTCCCAGTAGTTTCTCTCACTATGACTCTGCATGAGCTAAATTAACCTCCTGGAGGCTAGCTGGGCTAACAGGCTGCACAGAAATACAGAGGGCAGGGGTTGGGTGAATCTTACTGTGTATTTTACATAGAATATAAACAATACATTCATAGTGTTTGTTTACTGTTAAACAAATGTCAAGACACTGACAGCAGAAAACAGCTGTGAAGGGTGCTGGGTCCTTCAGAGGACAAAAAGGCAGGACCGAAGCTGCTCCTCCTTTGGAGACTGTGGCGCACCACAGACACTAAATCTATGGTGTAAATCATGGCAGTGAAACAACAACTTCAGGGTTTTTCTCCAAAAGTAGAAAATCTCATTCAAAGTCTGGTTGACATTAAATGTAAAAGCACAAATGAGTAAAAATCCAGCCAAAACCCTGCTCTAGAGTGTGTCACATGGTTCAGGCCATACTGTGTTTCTGGATAAGGATGGTAAAATGTTTTATCTTAATATCACAGCACAGGTAGACTGTTCATTACAGCTAAGCTAACAGCTCCTAACAGGCTACAACATTTGCTGATTGCCTTTGCCTGCCAACAACGAGAAAGGATACAGGGCAGAGCTCAGATGAGCTCAAGTCACCACTGCCGCTCCAGCATCCTCCACCTCTCCACCAATTCTCCACCTCTCCTCCTGTATCACATCACACACTGAGCTCAGACACACACAGGGTGAGGATTATTAGTCATTTATTTTCCATATATCAATGAAAAGAGTTCCCTGATGCCATCTGCTCAACAATAGCTTGCTCTTGGGAAGTGGTTCCCAATCTCTGGGCTGTGGCCGAAGGCATTTAAAGTGGTCCGACAAATCATTTGCAAAACAGTGTAATATTGATATTGTAACTGTGAAAATATACATGTCTATATACAGTATACAGAACATTTTCCAAGTGCACACAAGACTTAGGAATATTTACATTTTACAACTCTACTAACTTTTTCAACCATCTACAGATTTCACACTCACTATCTGCACATCAACTCAAGAAAGCATGCAGAGACACCAGAGTCACGCACAGTGCCACAACACACTTTCTGTGCTTCCATGCAGTCAGGACAACCTTCCCCCTCTGGCCTTTTTCAACCTTTCTGTGTCTGGCTCTACAGCCACAGGGATGCAGGTCTGTGGGGCAGACGTGGATGATGGTGGGGCAGGTGTAGGGATGGGAATTGATAAGATTTTATTGATAGCAATGCCATTATCGATTCTGCTTGTCGATCTGATTCTTTATTGAATCGCTTATTGATTCATGTGGATTTTCTGTGTGGAAAAAAGTAGGCCTATACAGGTTTTCAGTGTCAACAATTCAAATTTTATTACGAGTCTCTGATCACTGAACAAGATAGATAACTGCTCTGTAGTTGTTCACTCCCTCGAGGAGAGGGGGCTGCTTCTTGAGGTCTGCCTTGTATTGATTTACTGAAAAAGAATAAACAAAAAAACAAACGGCTCTCAAACAGGAGCTGGCTCACTAATATGTACCTTCACTGCTCTGCTGAGACTGGGAAGCACTCGTTGACTGGCAGCGTAGAGTGCTTCGACAAATGTTTCAGCATGTTGCTGGTGTTTCCACCCTTGCTTGAAATCTTAGTGCCACAGACAAGGCATGTTGTACTGTTTAGCATCATTTTGTGCGAAAATAAGCCACTTTTCCTCGACTCCTTTGTTGTTGTTCGCGCTGACTATGAAAGCATGACGTCATTCTTTTTGCAAGGTACGCAGAACTAAGTGGAAGACATCGATAAGGGAATCGTTAAGCATAAAGGCAAAGGATGTTGATGGATTGAACCAGTTGGAACTGGTTCTCATCAGGAACCGGTTCTCGATTCCCATCCCTAGGCAGGTGTGGATGATGGTGGGAAAGGTGTGTATGAAGGTGCAGCAGGTGTAGATGATGGTGGGGTCGATGTAGATGATGGTGGGGCAGGTGTGGAAGATGGTGCAACATTGTATATACATATATATAAATACATATTCAACTGATTCATAGGTATGATTATAGTCAGTTTAGCTTGTCTGTAATATAATTAAAATATAGTTTAGAGTTTATATCATTTCATGGTTTATAGTTTTTGTGGAAGTTAATTACTTTGCACTGAGGGCATAATGAAATTGAATGCATATATCAATAAAAAGGTGTGTTAAATTCAAAATAGTATTTTTAATGTCTAATATCTATGTTTAAGAGATATAGAAGACCTTTATATATATATATATACATACAGTAAATCAAGCCATTTATGTGATATGTGAGAGAGTAAAGACGGAGGGACAGAGAAGTCACTGTATATCAGGAATGACCCATGTACATTAGAAATTAGTTCAGCCTTCATGGATCAGACTACCATCAGCCAGTCAGACTGGTTCAAGTGAAAGAGATACAGTCATTAAACTCATCAGTTGGTTGGCTTTGCCCAGATCAGAGTAATTATATAGTTACATAAGCTCTCCAGTGCTGTTTAAATCACTCCTCTGATAAGAAAGGCCAACAGTGGAGGAACTGTACACACACACACACACACACACACACACACACACACACACACACACACACACACACACACATAACTGTTCACATATCCTCTGCAGATGTGGGTAGGAATAGCCAAAAACTGTACTGAAGTTAAACTAGAACCCTAAGGAGTTAAAATAGTCACTAAAATTACACCTTGAGTAATATATAAATACTAGTAGGACCAGGAGGAACCCAGGGCCACTGCACCAGGGTAAGGTCTGATAATGGCTCTGAGGATTTCATCCTGATACCTAACAGCAGTCAGGGTACCATTGGCTATGACATGGAGGTCTGTGCGACCCACCAAGGATATGTCTCCCCAGACCATCACTGACCCACTGCCAAACTGCTGGTGCTGCATGATGTTACAGGCAGCATAACGTTCACCACAGCATCTCCAGACTTTTTCACGCCTGTCACATGTGCTCAGTGTGAACCTGCTCTAATTTTTTTGTGTAGTATATATATACATTGCCTAAAAAAATAAAAGCAACACTTAATCATCACAGTAGAACACCAAGTCAGCTAAACTTCAGTCATATCAATCTGTCCATTTAGGAAGCACAAGTGATTGTGAATCAGTTTCACCTGCTTTGGTGCAAGTGAAAGTGACAACAGGTGCAATGGAGAGGCAAAAGCAAGACATGCCCAAAAAAGGGAATGGTTCTACATGTGGTGTCCACAGACAGTGGCTCTCTCATGATCCTTCCCTACTTCTTCTCTAGTTCTGTGTTTTGCTAGTGTCCTTGTCACTACTGGTAGCAGTAGTTGCTGGGCTGCAGGCGGTACCTGCAGCCCAGTCAGGATGAACAGGTAGTCCTGGGTCAGTGATGGTCTGGGGAGACATATCCTTGGAGGGTCTCACAGACCTCAATGTCACAGCCAATGGTACCCTGACTGCTGTTAGATACTGGGATGAAATTGTCAGAGTGATTATCAGACCTGACGCTGGTGCAGTGCGCCCAGGGGTCCTCCTGGTGCAGGACAATGCCTGACCTCATGTGGCCAGAGTGTGTAGGCAGTTCCTGGATCACGAAGGCATTGATGCCATTGACTGGCCCTCACGTTCCCCTGACCTAAATCCAATTGAGCACCTATAGCACATTATGTATCAGTTCATCTGACGCCGCCAAGTATCGCCACAGACTGTCCAGGAGCTCACTGATGCCCTGATCCAAGTCTGGGAGGAGATCTTCCAGGACACCATCTGCCGACTGATCGGCAGCATGTCCAGACGTTGTCAGGAGTGTATACAGGCACACGGAGGCCTCACACACTAATGAGTCACATTATGATTTGCTGTGATGAAATTCACGCAAGTCGGATCAGCCTGTGATTTCAATCTTTTACTTTGATGTTGGGGTGTGATTGTGAATCCAGCCCTCAGTGGGTTGAGGATTTTGGTCTCCATTGACCGTTGTTACGTCATTTTGTTCTCAACAAATTATAAAATGTACATCATTAAAGATTTTCAACTTGAATAATTTGTTCATCAAATCTGATGTGTGATTTAAGTGTTCCCCTAATTTTTATGAGCAGTATATATGTATATATTATACAACAGTTCTTTCTGACCAAGCAATTTGATTGGACGAGAGGCATTCCGTGAGAGCTGATATAGAGTACAGCAGCACTACATCACTCCGCTTCACAGGTAATCTATTAACTGTTAATCAGCGTTACATTAACAGCCGTTATCTATCTTAAATTGTAACAAACTTTGCAAAGATAAAAATATTTCCAGAAATAACATTCAAATTAAGCATGGCGACGCAGGTACGCTGCTCTTTGTACAGTCTGTGTGTTTATGATTGTAACCATGACAACCAAGGTCCATAATGCTATTGGTCAAATCAGAAGGTTGATGGTTATTCAGGTTGGAGGAGTTGTTGGTATTTCTGTCTGGCTGATGTTTGGTTGACTGGGGTTCTTAAAAGTCACCAAATCTACAGAGAACGTTTGTGACTTTATTCAGGTTAGGAACTGTGTGTTGAGGCCAGTGTTTGTCTCTGTTTCAGGCATCATGGCTGCTGGACTGAGGCCAGTGATTTTGCTGCTGTTGCTGCTGTGTTGTTGTCAACCAACCACGACCAAAGAGGGAAAATCCACTAAGAAGGGGAAAAAAGGAAAACAAGTTGTCTGTCCATCGTGAGTAAATATACTGTACTCTCCAATCACAGCCTTTCTCACTACGTGGTCATTACTATCAACACAAGCCTCATGGTTTGTCATTATTTTGTTATCCAGATATTATTTCAGACACGTGCAAGTTGTACCTTGTACTTTGTGCACAATAATGACACTGTGGCTAAATCAGTTACTGACATCGACATCAGTGAATAACTCTCCATATTTATCACATTTATAAATGCACAGCAAACGTCTTTCCACTGCTCCATTCTGAGTGTAACAGATGTTTGACCTTGTCCCAAGTTTCTTCTAATAGTAAAAAAAAAAAAAACCTTCCCTCAATGATCTGTAGTATGGCGTTTCTCTCTTTTTGCTTTGCTTTTCATTACTTTACTTCATTTACCTCAATGTTTTCTGCTGCCTGCTCTGAGTAGACACATGATGTGTGTGTGGGTCCTCTCTGTCTGTAACACTCAGTTGCAAGATGAACAGTTGCAACAACTGATCAATCAACAAAGATCAATACCCATTCATCATCGTAATTTCTGGCAATACCAAATAGGTCTTGTCATGGCAGTAGATCAGTCAGTTGCAAGGGTTCAGGACTTAGTAATAATGATAATAATCCTAAATCCTCTTCACAAAGCTGCTGAGACCAACTTTTAGTAAGGAAAAGTGAAAACTCCTGAGCTAAGAGTGCGACTCCGTTTATATGGCTGACGTCAATTTTCATGGACGAGCTCGCTTGCAGGAACCACAGTTATCGGACGATGACCGCCTGTGCCGGTGAAAACGCATGTGCAACATCCCGCAGTAATAATAAAAATAAAAAAAAACACTGAGAAATAAATGAATGCAAATGAAATAATAACAGATTAGGAGCTGTTTACAAAAGTAGTTCATTCTCCAAAATGCATCTGTATGATCAGGTTTGTGTCGGGAGAATTTAATTTTACTATAAAAACATTAAATTTTCTCAATGAAAAAACAAAAAAACTGAACCTGTCCTAGACGACCTAACTAAAGCAAACTGCTAGCCTATTAGCCACAGTCTGTTGTAGCTGTACCTGTTGTAATGTAGCTGTGGTCCCAGCTGTGGGTTGAGGTGTGTGAGGATTTCCCCTGACCCCCACCAGGTGACATCCAGCTGGAATATGATCCTGGTCACTCTCCATGAAGATCCATGACTCGTGGATCTCAGGTGATGTGGACAAGGCCATTAAATCCAACTCTGAGTCCTGCCACATCCAGAAATACTCGGATGACACAGCTATTGTGGCGCGTATCAGGAACGGCAGGAAGAGGAGTACAGGGATCTGACGATGGCCTTCATCTGACATTGAGGTGGTGCACACTTATAAATACCTAGGTGTGCACCTGGACAGTAAACTGGACTGGTTCCTGAACACAGATGCCATCTACCGGAAGGGGCAGAGCCGGCTCTTTTTCCTCAGGAGGCTCAGGTCCTTTGACGTCTGCAGTGAAATGCTGCACATGTTTTATCAGTCAGTGGTGGCCAGTGTACTCTTTTATGCTGCAGTCTGCTGGGGCAGCAACATGTCCGACATGAACACAAGGAGACTGGACAAGCTGGTCAAAAAGGCTAGGTCTGTGCTTGGCAGGAGTCTGGACTCACTCAGGACTGTTGTGGAGAGATGCATGCAATGTAAGATGGAGGCCATCTTGGACAATACCAACCATCCTCTCCACAACATTCTGGCAGGACAGAGAAGCAGCTGCAGCTGCAGGTGCAACAAATTTCTCATCTCACTGCGCTGCAGAACAGAGAGGTTCAGGAGATCCTTTGTTCCCACTGCCATCAGGCTGTACAACACCTCAGCCAAAGGATGAGGACTAATCTAATTATTATTGTTTATTTATTATTAACTGTTTTTATTTTTATTATTATTCCTATTCTTATCAACAATGAGTTAATGGACATGAATTTTCCACAGGGGATAAATAAAGTATCTATCTATCTATCTATCTATCTATCTATCTATCTATCTATCTATCTATCTATCTATCTATCTATCTATCTATCTATCTATCTCATCATCACAGTATTGAATAATTTTATCGAATGTAACAGATTTTCCTCATATCACACATTGATTAATTTCATCCCTGTGGCTGTATTCATTCTTTCATTTCACTGAGTAGAAGTGTAATACAGTACAGGAGCGAATATGTGGGATAGTCTCAGATCACTAACACACATAAGCAACTTGTTTGGTTAGGTTCTATAATAATACTGTGAAAGTATCAAAGGGCTCAGTCCTCAGGACTTCTGGAAGTTTGTGATGTCACAACAAAGCAGTCACCGCACTCAGCCCCGCCCCAAGAGCCGCCCACCTGAATCCGCCATCCAGCCTTGCAGGATTTGGTTTCTCTGAGTGTTTACCTGAAATATGCTTTTTTTTTTCTTTTCTTTTTTTTTTTATATCCAATCTCTCAAAAAACAGTCAACCAATCAGAAGAGAGGCTCAGAGCCTCCTCTCTTCTGATTGGCTCACCGACCTGTTGTTACTAGAGCTCCAGAGAGAAGCCTGGGAGAAGAGATGTAAGATTACATTGAGATGGTTTTTGGTTCTTAAAACCACAAATATATCTTCTTATGGATCAACACTTCAAATAAAATATATAAAAAATAAGATAAAAAAAGAATAAAATACAGACCTTTAAATATTAACTTGATCAAGAAGTAGAAATCAAAAAGAAATCTAATGTAATACATTACTTTGATTAATTAAATCAGTTAGTTATTACATTTGTAACAAGGTAGTAAATGATCAGTAACCTCTTACATGTCAGAAGTAACCTTCCCAAAACTGCTGCCAGGGATGCTGTGCAAATGCAGCAGAGGGGAGAGACAATGTGACACTGGACATGACACATTCATTGCTCATAACTAAAAAAGGCCGGGCTCTGACCGAACAGCCACTGGCTGGAAGCACAGCTGCAGCTGCTCTGCTCGGCTGTTGTGGCTGGAGCTGCCTATGTGGATGTGGTTATTATGTGGTCAAGTCTGTGATGCTGTGGATACAGCTTCAGGAGCTGTACTGTCGCTACTCTTCACTGCTCCTATTAAAATGAACTATGAAAGTGTAATTAAGGCTGTCGTATCTGCCTCTATCAGACATGACAGATGTGTTACCTGTAGACCACAGGAGTTCCGGACAGGAGTAAAGCAGCTTCAATACAACACAGCACACAAGTCAGTCCTCTGCACACACAGCCACTGCATGTAGATGTAGTGTTACACGCATTATAAAGTAATGTGTCTGAGCCACGGTCACAGCTACAGCATGTGTCAGCAGCCTCAGCAGCTGTCACTGAGAGAGCTGCTGCCTGATACATCATACTACATTAGAATACAGGTCAGCCTTCATCTGTAGATCAGAGTGAATGCAAAACAGATTATGAGGGAATACAAAATAATTTCAGGAAAAACTCTCTGGGGCTCTGCACATCTAATTTAAAAAATCTTTTCTTCTAAAATCAGCGGCATCCAGAATAAGCTCACTTAAGTCATTAAATGTTTTAAACGTCAAAAGGCTGAATTTCCTTTGCAAAGACAACAATGAGCACATTGTTTGTTTTTGTATTGTGTTGCCAACAAGTAACATTTGATAGAATGAAAGTTTAGCTAATATCTGAACCACAGATCTACCCCTTTATCATGAGGCTCTGCTCTCGACCATCAGCCCAAAAAACACCCCAAATAACACCATAAAATGTCTCCATTACAATCTGGTACGTAAATGTGAATTTTCAGATTTTCTACACTAAGGAGTCAAGTCAGGTTTTAATTTATAGCCCAATATCACAACCATCACATGTATACAACCCCCTCTGTCTTTAGACCCTCGAAAAACTCCTCAAAAACCCTTTAAGTGGAATAGATGGAAGCAACCTGAGGAAGAGGACACAGAAGACGGGCAGACCGGAAACAGATGTAGGTACTGGGAGGACGTCAAGCTACTTCCAGCTGCTGCCTGAGCCACACAACATCCTCTCCACCGTGAAGACCTGGACAGAGGACAGACTACACCCAGAGGGAGACAGAAACAAAGAGGAGGCTGGGACTTCTGGAGTACAAAGATCCAGATCCAGAACAGAGAGCCAAAGTGTTCCACCTCTTCCTTGTGCTTGTCCTCTTAGAAAACTTGCCCGGAGTTTGTTTTGACATTTTTGCATTTTTTATATAATCTAGGCCTAACGCTAGCTTGTCGTGATAGGTCACTGTCTGTCATTTCAATAACATAAAGCCAGCGCCTGCACCAACACCACCCTGCACTCCGCTGAACTTTTGAATGACAGGAAGTCTCTCTGTCCACTAGTCTAATTTGTGTTAATAGTGTAAGAAATAATAAGAAATAATACTAAGATTTCAGTTACTATGATGATACTGTGTGGACCAGCTTCAGGTTTAGATACAGGTGGTCTAGAACAGTGGTTTTCACCGTATGCTGGAAACTGGTCTAAATATTTTGGCACATGATTCCTCTGAGCCCCACAGCTAAGTGAGTGAGCATTTGTGCTGGAATGGCGAAAAATAAGTTTGGCTAGATTAGGAGTGTGTGTGTAGGTGCACTGAAACAGAGTTCAGGAGATCGACAGACAGGACACGTCACTTAGTTTGGTTTATTACCTGTTGCTGTTTAAGGTTTTAACAAGAATTGAATCAATTTCTCCACCCTTTGTAGCAACAAGGAGGGACAGTCAACAAGACAGTGAGAGGGAGAGAGTGAGAGAGCAGCTGTTTCTGTGTGCTCTGATAAATGGATAAATGTAAATGAATTAGAATCACCGCCTTTCCTCCACAAACCAGAGAAGTATCAGGAAATATGGTCACAGTCTCTCCTTCCTGAGTTACCTTGTTGCATACAGACCAGAACATTGTGATGTCACAGTGATATTCACCTAAATTGTGTCATAATTAGTGAATTAATTTTATGAGTTATGACCAAAAACGTGTTTTGGGAGGTCACAGTGAGCTTGACCTTTGACCTTCGACCACCAAAATGTAATCAGTTCATCTTCGAGTCCAAGTGAATGTTTGTTCCAAATCTAAACAAATTTCCTCAAGGTGGTCTTGAGATGCCACATTCAACTGTGAGGTCACCATGACCTTTGACGTTTGATCTTTGACCACCGAAATCGAATCAGTTCGTCCTTGAGTCCTAGTGAATGTTGAATGTTGAAATGTGAATGTGCCAAATTTGAAGAAGATCCGTCATGGTGTTACTGAGATATTGTGTCCACGACAATGGGATGGACAGACAACCTGCAAACATATGCTTGCTCTGACTGTCAATGGTGCGGAGGCATTTTAGGCAAATGATACCACAGGTACAGGCAATGTATGAAAAACCATTCCTCATTCAAAATGATATATATATATATATATATATATATATATATATATGTTGGCCTTCATACTGGCCTTCTGCACATTGTTGGACAGGGGGTTCACACTGTTCAGATGGAGAGACCCCCTCCGCCCTGTTTATTCTCATTGGATCAGAGAGGTTATGCTGGAGAAGAGAAGATACTCTCTCCAACGGTCTGCTGTGNCCACAGGTACAGGCAATGTATGAAAAACCATTCCTCATTCAAAATGATATATATATATATATATATATATATATATATATATGTTGGCCTTCATACTGGCCTTCTGCACATTGTTGGACAGGGGGTTCACACTGTTCAGATGGAGAGACCCCCTCCGCCCTGTTTATTCTCATTGGATCAGAGAGGTTATGCTGGAGAAGAGAAGATACTCTCTCCAACGGTCTGCTGTGATGTTCTATGTAATTTGGCAGCTCTTCTTGAAATTTGCAGAAAAAATGGAGGCAGAGAATGTGATCCATTAATGTTTAGCCATCTGGAATGACTAACTTTTATTCAGTGGCTTAGGTCTGGTGGGTGGACACTTGAAATCAGATTGGACACAATGTTGTATTTGTATTTTTGTACAGTGAAAACACTTAATAAATAGAACTTGATCAAATTAGGACTAAGACTATTTCAGATGATGCAGTTTGAGACAGCCGCTCTCACGCTGACAGATTACCTGCAGTCATCTCACATCACACGTAGAAAAAATCCTATTTTTCCAGTGATGTTAATCATTTCCATCTGTTTCTATTAATGTCACAGCCAGTTGTCTCCAGAAGATTTGGCCCAGGTTCCAGCTAACTCCACCTCCAACATCCTGAACCGTCTGATGGTCAGCTACGACCCCAGAATAAGGCCGAACTTTCAAGGTAATGCAACAAACTATGCAGGTAATGGGTGACAACATCCCCGGCTGAGCAGTGAACACACACTCTGTTTCTGCTGCTGGTTGGTCACTGAGCCTGTGTCTGCTCAGGTTCCATCTATTCTTTGAGTCTCTGACAGGGGGAGGAACTCGTTTAAGTTCTCTGTCTCAGTGTGTGTGTCTTTTCTGGGTTTACATTTGTATACTTATAAGTAGCATTTCATATGGGAGTAATAATGTAGATTTTACTTCATTATTTATAATGTAATAATAACTAATGTAATAATTACTACAGTATTACATGGACACTGCTAATTGTGATATCTTTTACCTTTTCATTAATATAAGGACCAGTATCCTCGTCAGAATCCATCCCAACCAAGGTTAGAACAGTTTTTAGTAATAGGTTTTTATTAGTTTCATTATTAGTTTTAGTTTGTTTGTAATATGAGGTATTTGTCAGGGGCCAGATTCAAAAAGGCCAGAGAAATTATTGTTTAATAAAAACATTACAGTTTTTAATGATGTTTTTACAACCATCCTCAAAAGACTAAACTATAAAACTATAAAAGATGTTAGTCAGCGTGTTTGTGTCATTAACCAGAGAAATTCAACTGGACACAACAACAACAACAACAACAACAGCAACAACAACAACAACAACAACAAGAGAACATAATCTGTAGATCTGGCACAGACGTGTAAACAGTGTAGACCAGATGCAGCCTGAAGTTTGTGTTTCTGAGCTGAGACGCAGGTCGAGTCAGTCTGAGAAAAAACTCATTCAGATGAACCAAGTCAACATGAACTCATGAGTGAACTGCACTGTCCAGCTGCAGCTTTGTGGCTCATCACTTCATTAACAGTAAAATACCATTAATACACTTAAAGTGCACATATACTGGTCACACACTGAGAGCCAATCAGCTGTAAGATACTGCTCCATCTTTCATATCCACCTAAACACCAGCTGATGTATGAAATAAACACAGACAGAGAACAAAACTAAACACACAACACACTTTCAGTAAGTTGTCATTTTTATAGTGTTCTTTTTATTTTTATTTCAGTTAATGAAAACTTTTCATTAGTTCACAATAATAACCTTAACCATCAGTGTGACCTCACAGGTAGAGGGAATATCTGGTCTGACCATATAAACCTCTCCTTCTCTCTGCTCTCTAATACCTGTTTTTCATGTCACACAAAAGAGTGAGTAGAAAATCTCTGTAAGAAATCTGTGTGTGTGCGTGCGTGCATGCGTGTGTGCGTGTGTGTGTTTCAGGTATCCCAGTTGAGTCCAGGGTGAACATCTTCATCAACAGCTTTGGGTCCATCCAGGAGACCACTATGGTGACAGACACACACAACAAACGCACTTAATGTCTTTATTTGATTTTATTTGAATTTCTGTCTATGGTGCAGCTGCTGCTCGACACCAGCCAACCCTTTCACATTGGTCAAAATGTTAAAGCTCCATATTTTCCTCTTCTCTTGTGTTTTATTCGAAGTGTTGATCCATAAGAAGATATATTTGTGGTTTTAAGAACCAAAAAACCATCTCAATGTAGTGTTACATGTTCTCTCTCAGGCTTCTCTCTGGAGCTCTTGCAACAACAGGTTGGTGAGCCAATCAGAAGAGAGGAGGCTCTGAGCCTCTCTTCTGATTTTTTTTGAGTGATCTAATAAAAAAAGATCAGATTTAGGGTAAACACTAAGAGAAACCAAATCCTGCAAGGCTGGATGGTGGATCCAGGTGGGCGGGGCTTGGGGCAGGGCTGAGGGCAGTGGCTGCTTTGTTGTGACATCACAAAGTTCCAGAAGTCCTGACGGCTGGTTTTAAGGCTCAGTTTCTGAATACAGGCTGTGTGCATTTCTCTGTGGACTGAGGCTTTGATACTTTCATAGTATTAATATAGAACCTAGACCTGATCTATAATCAAACTACACATGGACATCTACCTTTATACTGTATGGAGCTTTAATATTGGTAATATTAGCACTAGCAGTTTAAATAGTAGTGGCAGCTGTATGAGAATAATTAACACAATGTCTGTCTCTACAGGACTACAGAGTGAATATATTTCTCCGTCAGAGGTGGAATGACCCTCGTCTACGACTTCCTACTGACTTTAAGAGTGATGCACTAACTGTTGACCCCAACATGTTCCAGTGTTTGTGGAAACCAGACCTTTTCTTTGCCAATGAAAAGAATGCAAACTTCCATGATGTCACACAGGACAACATTCTGCTCTTCATCTTTAGGAACGGAGATGTCTTGATTAGTATGAGGTATTGTGTTTCAACACCAGGTCCCATGACCTGATCCTCTGCATTATAGATAGCACACGCTGCTGTGTCAGCAACTCTGACCACCACTGTTTCCACTGTGTGTGTGTGTCTAGGCTGTCTGTGACGCTGTCTTGTCCCTTGGATCTCACACTCTTCCCAATGGACACACAGCTGTGTAAGATGCAGCTGGAGAGCTGTGAGTACACACACACACACACACACACACACACACACACACACACACACACACACACACACACACACACACACACACACACACACACACTCACACATAAATTAGAATAAATATAATTGCATAATCTAAATATGATTAAATGCTGGTGTTGCAGTTAAACAGAATAAGCCACACAGTGCTCTCCCCTGCCTTGCAGCTGCTGATTGCGCTCAGATTTTCCAGCTTCTTTTAAGGTAGAAGTTAACGTGATTAAATTGAAAACACAGCATAAGACCAGGTGTGGCTACGACCGCGGACAGTCAGGTTTGGTGCACTCGGTGTACATTCAAATCTCAAAGTCGGGTGTAGCTGAGATCAGTGTAAGAGTTTAGAATCCCCTCCTGGACTGTTTGTTGTGGAGGAGGACACCTCTGTGGATCATTCAGCTCCAGGTAAAAACCTCCTGAACCACTGGAAACAGAAATGGTGGTGGTGAAGACAACAACTCCCATGATCCCATTCTAATTCATGAAATCACCCAAAGGCATCTTTGGTTATTGTTTTGATTGAGAAACCTCCAGAGGCAGAAGTTTGTGCTTCTAAGTAGCAAAGCCTTCCAATTCAGTTCAGTAAACTTTATTTGTCCCCAAGGGGCAATGTAAAGGGCACAAAGAGTAGACATAAAAAAACACACAAATACACAACAAAAACCACACAACCAGTGAATTGTCTTTTTTGTGTTTTAGTTGGCTACACCACCAGTGATCTGGTCTTCATGTGGCAGTCTGACCCCGTTCAGATGGATGAGATTGCTCTGCCTCAGTTCGACATCAAACAGGAAGACATTAAATATGGAAACTGCACAAAGTACTACCAAGGAACAGGTCAGTAATCATTATTATGTAATTATAACTAAAGCATCAGTACTGCTGGTTCCTAAACTGTTATACTATAGTTTATAAAGCTACCCTTTTACTAGTTATTACAGTAAGTTCCCGTTAATGTAATCAACCATAGTAAAATCTTGCATTTAATGTAGCTCACACATCATATTTCATATCTGATGAATGTTAACTTTTGTTTTGTTAATATTATATGGTAATTGATCAGCTGTTACATTAGTAACAGTATGCAAAATGTTGTATGACTGAGCTTTAAATGCAATGTTAAAGCTGCACCTGTCACCTCTTTATGAATGTGATCATAGTGCTGCATTAAAAAAATAATATATGTCTTTGATTAGTTCAAACACATGCAGTTCATCAGTGTGTTTTGTAATCTCTCTGCCCTGATTGACTACATTTGGATTGAAACCTGGCGAGTATGTCCCCTCAGTGAGCACTTTATTAGGAACAGCACACTAACACTGGGTAGTTCCTCAGTTCTTCACGTCAAGGATCCACCTGATGTTGAAACTTTCCTCTGAGACTCTGCCAGCCGTGACTGTTGACACAGCAGGTTGGGTCCATGTATTCAGACTCTGACCGTACCATCTGCTGCCTCAGCACAAATCCAGATCCATCAGAGCCAGGAGCTGGTTTCACAAAGACAGACTCTGACTGTGTCTTAGATGGAACAAATAGTCAGACTTCAGATAGACATCTAAATTCATCTGTTGCAGAGAGCAGTTTCAGTCTTGACTATCTTAAGCCAGACTGTGGTCCAATGTATTGAGGGTAAATTAAGATTTTCAAAATAAAAAAAAATGGCTGACATAAGAGCCGATTCCAACCACAGAGCTCCATTTCCTCCAGCAGAAAATGTTTGGCTTTTGGAAGAATTCAACAGCTTCAAGGGCATTTTACTTGGGAAATCCATTAAAGAGTGATACAATGAAAAGAAAAATCTGATTTGGAAAAAAATCTCTGCAGTCTGTAAAAACTCTTTCCCTTGTCTACCTCTCTCCATAACAATGTTAGCAAACAACAAATTATGAGCTATGTGTTCCTGTTTTTTGTTGTTCGGCGCTACTGGTCAGCGCAGGTGTCATTGATTGTTACCGTGGTAACATTGGTCTTAGGCATCACTTATCTTATGGCAAGGTGTTGAATGTTTTTGGCTTAAAATGTCTTTATTTTTGTGGAACGGTCTGACTGACATTAGATTTGAACCAACACTGCAGCTTCAGGTTTCTGGTCTTGGTGGCAGGAAGTGGAACCTGACATGGTCTTCTGCTGTCGTAGGTTTCACTCTGAAGCCTCTCTGCTCAGCACAGTTGTACAGAGTGGTTATCTGAGTGACCATAGCCTTTCTGTCAGCCTGTCCATTCTCCTCTGACCTCTGACCTCTCGCATCAACACAGAGCAGCTGCTCACTGGTTGTTTTTGTTGTTGCTCCATTCTGAGTAAAAACTCCAGAGACTGTTGAGTGTGAAAATCCAGGAGATCAGCAGTTTGACAAACACTCCGACCAGCGTCTGACACCAACAATCATGTCACAGTGACTCTGACTGTGACGTGACTGTTAGTGTCAGACGCTGGTCTGAGTCACATTTGTCCTCATTAACCGAAGCTCCTCACCATCTTTTGCCATGTGATTGGCTGATTGGATAATAACATGAATAAATAGGTGTACAGGTGTTCCTAATGAAGTGCTCAGTGAGTGTCCTAAACCAAATTGTCTCATATGTGTCATATCTGGGCCGTCAGAAAATAAAACTGAGTTTTTCAGTGATGTAAATGTTGATTTGTCCCTGTCTGTCTATCTCCAGGATACTACACCTGTGTTGAAGTGATCTTCACACTGCGTCGGCAGGTTGGTTTCTATATGATGGGAGTCTATGCTCCAACTTTGCTGATCGTGGTTTTGTCCTGGTTATCGTTCTGGATAAACCCTGATGCTTCAGCTGCCAGGGTGCCACTGGGTGAGTAGGACAGATACACATCCGACATCTTGTATTTCAGTCAGTTCACATTCAACTACACAGTGTTCAACTAATTACAGAAATGATGTACATCCCTCAACACTCACGAGTCGGTGCACCACACAGGTCGGAGTTTTGCCAATGTCTTCTGGTTTGTGTCGATGGCTCAACGGAAGAAAATAATACAACTGACATGGAAATAAATTATTCATAGATAAAAAAGATTTAAAGATGCATCATGTTATCATATATCAATTTACCAGAATCTATAAATATATAAATATTCTTCATTTCAGAGAAACTTATCACTTTATGCAGGTGTCTGCAGTCTTTAAACTCACATCATCATCATCATCATCGTCACTCAATCAGTTTGCCCAGTAAAGTTCAAATATTCAACTCAGTGGTGTCAGGGCAGGCAAGCCAAGCAATGTTTGACTAGTTAAACCAAAAATAGAAATCAATTAAAGCTTCAAGCAGCGTTGAGTGGGTCCTCGCACTGTTGCACATCTCGGGTGTGCTGCCACTAAGCTTAGCTGTAAGATGCTATTTCCTTCATGGGCTGTATGGCGGCAGATACGATGTATTGCAAATTTTGTATTACTACTTGTTTCCACTATGTGGCACTAGAGAGCATGCAACACACATGCACTATGTTCCTGTATATCAAGTGTAGACCAGACTGTGAGAATTTCATGAAAATAGAATGATTGTCAATCAAGGCTTACTTCCTGTTTTCAGTAGGTGACGCTATGACTATGATGTCTTGTTCATATGCACGTCTTCAGTGTGGGACTGTCATCAAACATGTTGACCTGCAGCTGCATTGTAATATAGTGAGCTCCGTAGGTGCACTTGTGCGTATGAATACGGTAATTCAGTGGTTGAGATAAATGTAGTACCAATGGAAAGTGCTGTAAGATAAACTGCTGAAAATATTTGAAATGTTCAAAAAATTCAAACAGATATTGGATTGTTTCGGTGGGTGTTTTTAAAAAACACGTTTTTTCTGGTGGCCCCAGGCACAGCAACACACCACTCTGCTAGTGTACTGTGTTCGTGGCAGCACACTAATCTGAATCTACTGCAGGTATGCACTGACTATGCATGACTACCTCACACAACCCCACGCCCAATAACCCTAACTATCCCTTTAACTAGTTAGTTAGCAGTTAGCAGTATACTGTAGTATATGCATACAACCAATCCAAGCTGCAGCAGTTATGCTTTTAAAGCAACCTTGAGATTCTGACAGCATGGGCACAAAGTCCATGCTGGCCATAGGGCGTGCAATGATTTTCGGGGCATCACAGCCAGGGGGAGGGGCAACAACAGCCATGGCCTCCATAAAATTCCTTCCTGATCACTGTCCTCGTTCATTATTTGCTGGTACATGATGTTTGTTATGAAACACAGCTACTTCTTAATCCAAGAACCGAGGGAGGCTGCTGTAAGTTCCACTGGATACACCTCACAAAGAGGGAACTTTCTTTATGATGTTTCTGACTCAGTCAGCCGTGCTTAACATATTCATAACATTCATAAACACAGCAAGCTCTAACAAGACTCTCTTCAGAACCACATCCCATGAAGGATCCTCCACCAGAGCTTGGTCATACATGGGTAGTTGTTACTTGTAGACTTGGTCACTGAGCAAAGACACCAAGGACACGTGTCCGAGTTGTGTCTCTATGGACAACGGGGGCAAAGGTCATTATAGGTACAGACAAAAGGAATTCATGGTCACCAAGATGAAACCTACTCGCTCAAAACAAAATGCACTAGGGCTGAAAAAAAAACTGTATTTCTGTGCCCCAAACCAACAGTTCATTTTACTGCTGAACAACAGGTGTGTGTACATTTATACAATTCCTTTAAACTCCACCAATCTGTGTGAATGGGAGAAAGAAGGCACTTCTGTGTGTGGCTCTGCTCAACAGAATGCGGAAGCAACAAAGGTCTGCACACAAAGAGGCTCCATAGGAGAAGCAAAGCGCCACACTGCCTCCTGCTGGCACCACCAGGAGTCTCAACACATCTCACAGACAAACCTTATAGCTCCAAAAGGCAATAATTAACCATCATGACTCTCATTAGAATATTAAAATAATGCCCCCAAAACAAACACATTAACAAAATTACATCAAATGTGACGATATGTTTTGTGTGAGTCAGCACTTACTGTACTGATGTGAGCTCTGTCCCACAGCCTTGGTGATACACATGTTCTTTATCTGGAAATAAACATTCACATGTGGTAACATGAATGTGTTAACATCTGTGTGTTTCTAGGTATTTTATCAGTGCTCTCCCTGTCCAGTGAGAGTATGTCCCTGGCATCAGAGCTACCAAAGGTTTCCTACGTGAAGGCCATCGATATCTGGCTCATTGCCTGTCTGCTGTTTGGGTTTTCGTCCCTAGTGGAATATGCTGTGGTGCAGGTCAGTGCTTCCAACACACATATACACACACATACAGTGGGGTCTGAAAGTCTGACACAGGAAAGTGGTCTCAGACTGTGTCATATATAGCACATCTGGGTTAGACACTCCTCAGCCAGAGAGTCTGGGATTATGGAGGAAAGAGAAACAACAGTGGTGTCACACTAACAGTGGTTCTGGACTGGGTTTTGATGATGAGCAATTTAAGGCCATGGATGGTTTTGCTAGTGGAACACAGTGTGGTGGTGACACATGAACAGATAAGAAAGAGTTTGGGCCTTAAGAGACAGCAGTGAACGCATTCGAGTGGCAAAGTGAAAAGTCACTGTCAGTAATCGACTGACTTGACATAATGCATGCTGGTTAGAAAGTTTTTGTCTGACTTTTGCATAACGTCAGCAGGTCACATGACATTAAAACCTGGCGGGATCAAAGCGGCTGTAGTTTTCTGAGTTGTTCTCCTTGACCTCTGTGACAACAGAACAAAGGTGGCAGGACCCACTTTAGAAGCTCCAGACTGGTCAAGGTTCAGTCACATGAATTTGTGAAACGTGAGCTGATATAAATGCTCCAAACTCCAGCCCCATCACATTTGCATATGTTTACACACACACAAGTAAATGTCTCTCTGACTGTCTCTATCTCTCTGTGTAGGTGATACTGAACAGCCCCAAACTGATTGAGGAGGAGAAAACCAAAATGGCCACCAAGGAGAAAGCTCTGAAAGAGAAAGAGGGAAAAAAGCCTTCAGATAAAACTAACAACACAGTGAATGGTACAGGTGGAACACCCATACATGTCAACACTCTGCAGGTACACACCACAACTTCCTTCATTTACAATCAGCATCAGCCACACATTATTAATGTCACATAAAATGACATAAAAACAACAAGCTTATTAACAGAAATCTAAGTTTCCATTTGATTGTGACTTTTCAGAAATAAGAACAGTTAATGAGGCTCTAACAGGACCTGGTCCGCACTCTAACAGGACGTGGCCCAGTCTCTAACAGGACCTGTTGTAGTCTCTAACTGGACTTGGTCCAGTGTCTCACAGGACCTGGGCCAGTCTCTAACAGGGCCTGGTTCAGTCTCTAACAGGACCTGTTGTAGTCTCTAACAGGACCTGGTCCGGTCTCTAACAGGGCCTCTTCTGGTCTCTAACAGGGTCTGGTCCAGTCTCAAACAGGACCTGTTCTAGTCTCTAACAGGACCTGGTTCAGTCTCTAACAGGACCTGTCCCGGTCTTTAACAGGGTCTGGTCCAGTCTCTAACAGGACCTGTCCCTGTCTCTGACAGAGTCTGTTCCAGTTTTTCTCTCTGTGTGTTGTTATGAAACGTCTTTATCAACAGGTTTTAAGTCATTAATATTCATTTATTAATAATTAATGCTTCCCTGGACTCTTCTCTTATACAGTGTTAACTTCACTCTGGTCTCTGTCTGTCACCAGGTGGTGGAAACTCGCTGTAAGAAGGTTTGCACGTCAAAGTCGGACCTTCGATCCAATGACTTCAGCATTGTGGGGTCTTTACCTCGAGACTTTGAACTGTCCAACTTTGACTGTTACGGTAAACCAGTGGAGGTGACTGGGGCCCACAAGTCCCAAAACAAAGCAAACAAGAAACCCCCACCACCCAAACCTGTCATACCTGCTGCTGCCAAACGCATTGACCTCTATGCAAGAGCCCTCTTCCCTTTCTCCTTCCTCTTCTTCAATGTGGTCTACTGGTCCGTCTATCTGTAAGGGGGAGGGGGGGGACCAAACTGAACTGACAATTGACATTACACAAATTCATGTGCTGCTCCACACTAATAAATTGAACATTTCATGTGTGCCGAGCTGCAGACAGTTACTGCAGCTGCCCCCCCCTTAATGCATTAAGTAGACACTGCATGTGTATCTGTCTGATACTTGACATTGTGCTTATTATAAACGAAACCTTGATGTGATTACAACAATACCCCTCCACTGTACATTAGAAATCAGTGCTGTTCACTGAGGGTAAGATTACTGCTAACACTTTATGTTAAAGGTGTAGAGCTCCTAAACTTCCAGAACTAACTGAATGAGAAATAACAAAGTAAATATAAAAACCAGGAAAAAACCTAAGATTTACTGAGTTTCTATGAGATGAACCAGATAATATCAAGATAATATAAGATCCTCCTGTTGTAATGTTATCCTCATGTTGTAATGACCTGGTCTTATTATTATGAATGAGCTTTTCATCATATAACAATATAAAATCATATAGTAACAAAAAAGTTAAAAACTAAAAGATTTGGTTTGTTGTAAAGATGAGAAAACAAGACCAGGTCTAAACCTAGTATATGTCTGGACCACCTATTGTCAAATCCTGATTTTACAACCACAACGTCGTTTGACAGCAACACCAAACACATAAATGAAAGACAAAGACTGAGCTGTAACAGCTGGATTTACTGTAAAATGATCATGCAGAGAGAAAGTTAGAAGAGACAGACTATCTTTCTTTTTTTAAAGTTCTTTTTTTAGGTATTATTTGAGTCATAGTGAGAGAGAGAGAGAGAGAGAGAGAGAAAAGATGATGATATGCAGCAAGGGGCCACAGGTCGGACTCGAACTCAGGCCGCCGGATTTAGACCTTAAAGCTTGAATGGCTTGCACTTCACCAGGTGAACCACCGGAACCTGAGACAGACTGACAGACTTTTTTATTTAGTCTTTCACACAGAGCACAGCCTCCGCCTGGATCCACAATAGTTTAGTCTTTATTTACTTAAACTTCAGAACATAACAGACTTTTATTAGAGGCAGGTCTTCATGTCTAACTCCCTCTGTTTGATATGTAGAGTTGGTCATAGTCGTTAGTCTGAAGCCTCATTACAGATGACTTCTATCTCTCCCTACCTCTCTCCTGCTCTCTCTGCTCAGTGTGTCTTATGTTTACTTATTCCTCTGCCTCCTTTAGTAATAATGATACATGTGATGAAAGTAGTTTATTTGCTGTAATGGAGGCGAGGCTCAGTGTGTTGGAAGTGCTCCTCCTCTTCCCTGCAGTTTCAGAGCAGCCAGGAAACCAGAGCGGCTCGGTAGACTGCCTGTAACAAGAGGTGTAGCCCTAAGTCCCTGGACAGCATTTATACAAGTTTAATTAATAATGCACGAGGTTAGCGGAACAATTTACAGCTTTAGTTCATCTTTGACTGAATCCAGATTGAAACCAATCAGGAAATCAGTGGTGATATGCCACATGCTTGTTTTCTTCTGGCCCAGAATCAGCCAGCTACATGGCCCAAATCTGGCCCATATACAGCATGACTGTTAGATGCTACTTCCACATCTGGACCAATTCTGGCACACACAGAAAATTTTGCGGCTGTCAAACAATACCAGAGGATAATACTAGGACTCTGCCCAGATGTGGAAGTATATGGGCCAGACTCAGGCCAAGGAACCAGGGATCTGTTGGAGCAGAAGATCAATTTCCTATGTGGGACAAAACTCTTCAAATGTTCTGGTGCATCAACACCTGCATTTCCTGATCATGGTAGGATATCCAGATACAGGTCAAAATGGGGTGTGAGAGTCAGTGGAGTAAATTCCTCTCACTTTTTAAGTTTATACCAGGCCTGCTGTCATACAGAGGGATGATGAAATGAATCATAAAAACGAGGATAATGATGGATGCTCCTCTGAAGCATTCCTGCTTGTTGACTGGATCGAACAGTGGGGCCAGCCCTATAATCGCGAATGTCCCTGACGGACTGATCCTATTTCCACCACTGGTCAGTGGAGTGCCGAGCCGCAGTCTACTAAGCTGCTCTGGTTTCCCGGCTGCTCGGGAACTGCAGGGAAGAGGAGGAGCGCTTCCAATACACTGAGCCTCTCCTCCATTAACTTTAAGCTGACAGCCGTCACACAGACGGATCAATGTCTGTGTAAAAGGGAGAGCCAAAATGGTAGAGCACGTCAGGCCTCTGATTCCTGAACACACTCTCTAAGATCACAGACTGAGGCGGCGTCATGAGGGGGCTTCTTAACAGTAATATAACAAGATCTAAACACCATGTCTGGTTTCCTACAGACATGACTCTTGTGCAGTCCTGGTCTCATCAGACCAGGGAACCTGGTTTCTCTCAGTCACAGAGTCCTGTAGCTGCTTTTTAATTTAAATGATTACAACTGCAACATAGCAATATGTGGGAAATGGAGGGGTTTGAAAACTTTCTGAATGAACTGTATATTTGCAAGATGATAGGGTTAACATGGTGATACCAATGCGCTCGAGTCTTTGTTTTTTTTCTGGTTCTTATTATTTATGACCCCCAACAGGGTATCCAGTTGAAGTCTGCACTTTACTGACACTGCTCTGTTTATTGGTATTGTCTGGAGTTCAAAGAACTCAAAAAGCCCAAAAAGCCTAAAGGTTTACCAACACTTATTCAGACCCCTTTACTTTGTTGTCATTTTAAATTGATAAAGTTTAATTGATTTAAATGTATTTAATTTAATGCACATTTATGAAGAACCAAAAACTTCTTCTTAACTCTCTTATTAACTAAAGTCTTCAGAATGTAGTCCAGTTCTTTATAGGACCCCCTTCATCAGCAGTTCCAGATTCAGTCTTGAGTCTCTACAAGCTCTGAACCTGGATCTGGTTAGTTTATCTCAGTCTTTCTGACAGATCCTCTCAGACTCAGACTGGACAGGAAGTGTCTGTGAACGGTCCTCTTCAGGTCTCTCCACAGGTGGTCTATGGGGTTCAGTTCTGGACTTTGGCTGGGACACTCAGGGACAGTCAGAGACTGGTCCTGAAGACTCTCCAGTGTTGTCTTGGCTGTGCTTCAGGTCACTGTGGAGCTGAGAGGTGAACCGTCACTCCAGTCTCAGGTCTCCTGGACTCTGGATCAGGTTTTCTTCAAAGACCTCTCTGTATATGTGACATTCATCCAGCATCAGGTCTGACCAGTCTCCCTGTCCCTGCTGCTGAGAAGCCCCCACAGCATGATGCTGTCCCCCATGCTTCACTGTGGGGATGGTGTTGTCCAGGTGCTGAGCAGGACCTGGTGTTTGGAGTCCAGAGAGTCTGGTTCCTCCTGGTCTCAGAGTCTTTAAAGTTTGTCAGTCAGACTCCAGCAGCTTCATATGTCTTTGACTCTCAGTGTCTCTGTCTCGTCTCTGTACCATAATAACCTGATTGATGCTCGTCTTTCCAGCAGCTTCTCCATCTCTGCAGGGACTTCTGAAGCTCCTCCCTGACCCAGGTCCCTCTGACCTGCTCCCTCAGTTTGTCTGAGCACCAGCTCTAGAAGAGTCCTGCTTCCAGTTCTTGTTCCCACGGTTCTCCTGAGAACACTTACACCTTTCTGTCCTGACCTCTGTCTCACCACAGTTTGATCATAGAGGTCTACAGAGAGTTCACTGGACTTTATGGTCTTTGTCCTGAACCGTGGGTGAACTGTGGGACCTGATACACACAGGTGTGTGTCTTTCTGAACTCTGTCCAATCAGCTCAGTTCACCACAGGTGGACTTCAGTCCAGGTCTAGACTCAGTTGATCACTGTTTGGAGGCGCAGTTAAGAGTCTGAAGACTTTGGTAGAAGAGATTCAAGTGGTCTCAGTCCACATAGTTTGACTGACTGATCTGGACCCAACATGTTTGGTGTGAAAGAAACCTGGGATTGACATGAAAACCTGATCTCAGAGACTCTACAGCATAATCGCTATGGTAGAATCTGTTTTGTGTTTTTGGACTAACTCATGAGATGATCTTGTACACGCACAGATCCATATTAATCCATACCTCTTATCATAAAGTGTTACAGGTGTTAGGCAGCTCAGTCAGTGACTACAAAGCTTTGGCCTCATTTGAAGATTGCAGCATTTAACCCTCCCAAGCTGTTATATGAAAGTGCTTTAAGCAGCAGCTAAGCTTGGCAGCCAGCGCTTCGCCCTTCTGGAAATATACTGCTATGTTATGAAAAGACAGCTCTCTGACTTGATATTAACTATTTTCAGGAAAGTTCAATAAAAGTTTCTTTTCCTCTGGAGCACGTGTGATGTTTTACTTTTTGACCACATAGAAAAGAGACAAAAACTGAGCCTCTTATTTTCTTTGATTTTGACTTGTTTGATAAAATCAATGAATGAACCCACTGATCGAGGACTGACCTTGGTCCTTTATTATTTTATTAATTAGTGAACATTCATCATTCATTCAGTTTTTTTTTTTAAACTAAAAACCAAAAACATCAAATCAGAAGACATGGTTCAATTCTGGTGTTCATAAATTCCTTTTTTTTATTTTTCCTTGTTGAATTGAAGAATGAATAAAGGTAGTCAGGTGACACAGAAGTAAAGGTAAATATTTCAAAATAAAAGCCAAGAGGATAGAAATTACCACTCTTTAAAAACAGGCAGACAGTTTGGTTTTTATGTATTTATTTCTCTGACATGGTCCAGAGAAGAACTCGTCACATTTTGGGATTCTATGTATGAATGTGATTTTCTTTGAAGTCTGGTGTCTGAAACTTCTCTGTAGACTCTACTTTAGCGGCTACTCATGTGTAAAACAACTACATTATATGATTGATTTCTCCACTATATGATGTCTGATTGATGAATTTCAGAATAAAGGTTGTAGTGTCAGCTACGACCAGCAACCAACAGCAGCTATAAACAGTGAACATTAGCTTGATCATGTAGCAGAATATGAAGTGACTTGGTGAAACTGTGAACAATCATCTGGTAACAGTGGGGACCTCTGCTGGTCACTTTAGACAACACTATCTCTGAAGGACCACTATTTCCAAATATTAATTAACAAGGCTATTAATTCATGCTACACTAGTAAATGATACATCACACTCTTCTGATAAAACATTTTTATGTCTTAATGTAAAGACACAAACAGATCTTTATCTGTTTATCTGTGCCTGTATAATGTTACTCTTCATAGAGATGCCAATTTATCCTCTGGGCTTTTATTTTGAAATAATTAATCTGACCTGACTACCTTTCTTCGTTCTTCAATTCCATCTATCCATCCATTAGCTATACTGCTTATC